TTTCGTTGTTGAGGATAAGATCATAAGTTTCCTTTCTTTACCTGCATACATCAGATCATTCAAGTTTGAGTACCCTAGCCTTCAATAAGGTTCATCTACCACAACTTCAATGGCCACCAGTAAGGATCCTTCCTAGTGTATTTATCTGTTTTGACCTTAGATCCTAAACTTATGAGGATCCTTCTAATATGTAGGATCTAAAGCTACTCATTCTAGTGCTCGATTTGCTTTATCTGATCTTGAAGATAACATGTCTAGCAGCCTGGTTGTGGTGAAGAAGGAAAAGATACATCCCTATCTCCCTCCTAAGAGGACTCGGCTTGATCATGCTGTGAATACCCCAACATCTCGTAAGAGGAAATCACTCGATGTCTGGGATCTTGAGAATCTTGGAATAGATGAGGCACTAAAGAAGCTAATCTCCTTCTCCTAATCCGTAAGTATTCTTGTGTTCTTTTCGTTTAATTTTATTTTTTACTTACTGTTGCTCTTCTTAGGTTGCCGATCATGTCTCTCTCTCTCTCTAATGAGTTTTCAGAAATACAGAAATGCGCAGCTGCGGTTCGTCAGTTAGCTTACGGTTTTGTTTCTGATTCATGGGACGAATATTTTCAAATGTACGAGCGGGTAACTAGGGACAATTTGGATGATTTTTGCATATGTGTTGTCACTATTTACGGTCCAAGGTATTTGCGTAAACCCACTTTTACCGACGTTCAATCATTATATGCTCGTCATGCTAGTGTTTATGGCTTTCTAGGATGCTTGGAAGTTTGGATTGTCTTCATTGGGCATGAAAGAACAAGTATGCTCAAGGGTCATATTAAAATGATATTGCTAAATAACATATGATCCTAAGGGTCACACTAACAACAACTTGATACAATTGATTATTTATTAGAAATTGAGTTTAATAAATATTCATAAACTCTTATAATAAAATGAGAAAATATTTATTTCATGGAAATAATTATTTTACAATACAAGTAACACATTATTTCATAAGGTATGAATTAATAAGTCATGCACAACCTTTTGGACTAGTTGAATACTTTTGTCTTTTACCTAAAGACAAAGTTTATATTTTATAAAACTTGGGTTTATAAAATTTAAACTTGTTCCTTTTTCTTTTAGTCAAAATCGTAACTTCTTTAGGGATAAAGAAGTTATGGTCTTTTGATTATTATAAAGAAAAGAATGCATTGGTTGGAAGCATGGGGAGACAAGTAGCCTTAGGTGCATGGAGTGTTTAATGAGTTAAGGACTTTGTGGGTAATATTCTTGCTTTATGAAGGATTTAGAGGCTTTCATTTTCACTCACTCTATCTTGCATACATTTGGCCGAAACTCTCTCTCTATATGCTCTCTTGAAGTGTTCTTGCTAAGCAAAAGGAGTTCTTACTTGTTCTTATGCTCTCTTAGATCAAATACTTGGGTATTTGATTCTAAGCTTAAGAGTTGCAACTGGCATTGCATCAAGTTGATCAGTGTTGGTGTCTTTTTGGGTTCAACCTTTCTCCATCATCTTCCTTGCCTCCCTTAAAGGATCCAAGGTTCATCAAAGGTTGTTGTTTCTTCTTCCTTCTATGGTTGTGTTTTTAAATCTTTCTACTACTTGCAAGATGATCATTGGTGGATGATAAAATGTTTATGTTATTTATAAACTCAAGTCTTCCGTTTGCCATTATTTGTAGTTTTTTAAACTAGTTTTTTAAAATAAAACCCAACAGGGCATGGGGTAGTTGTCCTAATGCATGGGAAGGGCAATTTACACAGGGTGATAAAGGTCACCCCACTGTCATACTTAAAGTTGTTGCGTCACAAAATCATTGGATTTGGCATGCATTTTTTTGGTGCTCCTGGTTCAAACAATGATATTAATGTTTTAAACGTGTCACTCATATTTAATGGGTTTTGTGATAGGTCTGCACCTATCTGTCCATTTCAAGTAAATGGAACGACGAACGGTTATTGGTATTATCTTCCTGATGTTATATACCCTACATTTGTTATGTTTGTGAAAACGCTAACATGTCCAGGTGATCCAAAACATATAAAGTATAAAACGTTCCAAGAAAAGGCTAGGAATGACGTCGAAGGAGCATTTGGAGTTCTCAATAAGCGTTGGTGCATATTACAACATCTGACACGTCCTCAAACAGTGGAAAAGTTTGCTCATATTATGTATGTGTGTATCATTTTACATAATATAATTTTAGAAGACGAGTGCCAAAAAATTGTCAGTATCAAGAAAATGAATGCATCTTCAAGTGCGTCAATATCAACTGGTTCCCACGTATGACGCGCAAGAAGAATGGCGATACGTGACAATCAAAAACATCACGAGTTTCGCAACGATTTGGTGGAGCATATATATATATATATATATATATATATATATATATATATATATATATATATATATATATATATAGTTAATAAATTTGATTAAATCAGCCAACTGACAATGATATCGACGAATATTCAGACTGAAAGATTTTATGTTACTTGGATTAGCGATTCTATGTTATTAAGTTAGTTCATTTAAATTACATTTTATGTTTATTAAATCAAATGTAATGTTTTGAATTTTAATGAAATGTTATGCTATTTTAATTATTATTTATTTTTTGTTTTATGTGATTTTTATATTTTTGAGTTAAAAAAATTGATAGGTAAAACATCATCAAACCCCAATCATAGATAAATTGTTGCAAAAATAATAAAAGCTTAGGTGGCACCTATATAACATATTTTTATCATTAACAAAAACATCATCACATTTTTTAACATTGACATAATATGGTCCGGGTCTAATAATAAAATAAATAAATAAATAAATAACAAAAAAAACAAAAAAAAAAAAAAAAAACAACTAATATATTAATATATCGAGTATGCATTCCAGTCAGGAGGTTAAAGATTATATATATCTTCAAACTTCAAAACACGTTTAGTAATCAGTAGTGAATAATTTTTAAGTTTATAAAATCATAAAGAAATGACAATAAGTTATTTACTCATAGAAAATATTTAGTTCCCTTTGATATGATTACGTATTCCAGATCATCTTTTTTATTTGTTAGCCCAATTAAATAATTAAGGCTTATCCTTGATTGATCTTCTAAAAATTTCAAAAGAAGAGGTGATGAAGGATGCTATAAGTATTTTGTTCCGAGTGTGTCTTTATTTTAATATATTTGCTGTTTCCAAAAATAAACATATTTTGTTCCGAGTGTGTCTTATCGTCAATATAATTTTAAAATCCTTTTATTGTCATAATCAAATTCCAAAAATTAGGGCATGAAAATTTTAGTGAAGCGTGGATTATCACGTATAAAACACCAAAATAAAACTTAGATAACAATAACTTAAATTAAACCATGCTTCTATATCATATGTTGAATTTATAGGCATAATCACATGATCAATTCAACGTATACTTGATAAATTTTAAACTAAATGAAAAACAATTACTTGGAGAAGATGATATCAGTTGATTTGGAGGATGACAATTTCATGATTCTTTTTCACTTCCCCTAATGAGGTCTTATCAATCAGTTTAATGGATGGGTAACACACATAAGATCATGGTGTTTATATGGAGATAAATAATTTATGTTAGATGAGATGAAGCAATTTAGATTCCATTTATAAGTTTCTTTCACAATTGTGTGTTTAATTTATCAATTACACTGAATAAGTAATAGAACCACACAGATTTAGTCCTTTAAGTTAACAAAAAAAAAGTCATGCCCATCATACTATATGTATATAAGTCTAAAGACCTATCATGTCATTATGAAAAATATTATGATACATAATATAATTGTATCAACACATAAAAAGATTACAACATAATTTGATGATCACGTTAATGGGTTATTTTCTAATAATTCAAACAAAAGTTTTTTACACATGCACGAATGCGTTGAAGCATATAATTCGGTGCTTAGAAAGTACCAACTCTTTTCAACTTCATCTTTCAAAGTCATAATCTTTCCGCCTCGTTTCATATATTGATGATGATTACGGGGGATGTCCGGATACCCCACGTTCTACATTTGGTTATTGTGTTTTCTTTTGTGAGACAATCTTATTTCATGGTCCTCCAAGTGATAACCTATTTTATCACAATTAATTGTTGAACTAGTATCTTAAGGTTGCACAAATGTTGTTTTCGAATCATGTAGGTTACATAATCTTCTTCTTGAGCTACACTGCACACTCACCACTCACCACTGCACCATTATTTATTATGACAATGTAATTGTTATTTACCTCTCAGTAATCTAAAAGATATATACATTTTGTTAGGGAAAAAGTGGCTTTTGAAGAATAATGGGTCTTACATGTTCCATCATGATCAGGGGCGTAGCCAATATAGAGCAAGAGTGGGCATTGGCTCATCTACATAAAATTAAGGTTATATATATATATATATATATATATATATATATATATATATATATATATATATATATATATGGTATGTACAATATATATATTTTTTAAATAAAATGAATTAGGTTTGTGGTATGGGCTATTCCATTCAAAACATGAAATTATTAGAAAAGAATACATGTTGTCTATGTCAATTAGACATTTTAAATTATTTTAATAATGTAAGACAATGTGCAACTTAAAATAAACAATTTAGTTAATGATGCATATATAGTTACATTTTGTTATCATTTGAAGAATTTTGTCACTCGTTCATATTTTGTATATTATTTTGCCTACCCTAAAACAAAATCCTGGCTACGCCAGTATATTTACCAAATGATTACCTTGCTTTCTCTTTAACGATTTTCGGGACATTATGAGCATTTGAGGAACTCCAGCTAAGACTACGGAAACTATTAATCATTATCTTAATTAATTATTAAATAATAGTATTTGTATTTGCTTAGGATTCAAGCTATCGCATATAAGGAAACATCATGTATATAAATAGTTTATAGCTAGCGTTGATTAATGAATGGATCAAGGCATTCAGTCCAACCCTCAACCCGTTTAATTTACCACTTCCAATTGTCATAATAGAATATAAATATTTGATAGCTTATTATAATTCGAAAAATTAATCCCAAACTCATTCCTCACGTGTCTTGGAGATGTTAAATATGATGAAAAAACACAAAGGAATTACAAGAAAAGCTACTACTTTGAGTAAATCTTCGGTTTCTTTTGAGATCACCCCAATTCTTGACCAGTCTCCACTATACCTGCAATTTTCAACAAGATTATATATATAACACGTTTGCAGTCTTAAACGAAGGTAAGGAGAAAAAAAAAGATAGATTAATTACCCAGCATCAACGAATCCCAATCCAAGAACAGCAACAGCAGCTTGAGAAACAATCTTTAATGAAGAATTGAGCGTTGACTTTTGAGAAAAGTTATCCTTTTTTGCCATTGAAATTCTTGGTTTTCCATTGATGTTCTTCTTCGCCTTCACCTTCACCTTCACACAAAAGGAAGAGAAAAGGGTGGTTGAGATGACACTTTTGTGTGTGGTCAGCATTTTGCAATGTGTTTGCTTTGATGTGGGAGTGTGGTGGTATATGTATCATGCCTAGGTGGTTGTACTATATGCATAGATGATTGTAACATGAACATTGTACTTCAACAACTTTGTGTCCATTACATGGCTGACAAAAGACTAGTGACAATATTGAAATTGAGCCCATTATGTAGTATTTGCAAGTATATAAAAGCCGTGATAATAGGGCAATTTTAATTTTTATATTATTTTATAACCTTTTTCCTATAATATATATGAGAAATTAAATATCATCTTATATTTTATTTCTATTTATCTTCATACCCATATAAAATGGTGACAAACCTCATATTTAGATAAAACTAATGATATTTTAGAACACTTGTTATCATTTCAAATTGGTAGAAAGATAATTAAAAAGAAAAGTAGAGGATATTTAATTTCTCATAATATATTGAAGTTACATAAGTTATATTTTAAAAATTAAAAAAAAATTGCAATTTATTGTCATGGTACCTAAACTTTATATTCATTAAATATCTTGTTCATCATTCTATCTCATTATTGTTGAGTTGAATTCATTAAATGTTAATTACACATTCAAGACACTCTACCTTCTTCAATTTTATTCTAATAAAAATATCTGTTGCAATGCGCTTAGATGGGTGTACTATGTGCATTGATGATTGTACCTTAAAATTTCTAGGGATAATGACTTAAAATGGTAATATATTTTTCGATTTGTACACATTTAGTGACTGAGTTTTTTTCCGTCCACATTTACCCCTTCAACTTGTTAAACCGTACACATTCAGTCTTTATGACCGGCTACTCCAGGTTAGCCGGTAAAAATAACTTAATAGGATAATATATTTCTCACTTTGTACACATTTAGTCATTAATATTTTTGTACACATTTAGTCTTTAATATTTTTTTTTGCAAAATAAGTCATTTTTGTTTTTATACTCATTCACTACTTATGAATGATTTCTTTAGGTTTTTTCAAATCATCTTACGTGAGACAATCATTAATGAGGTGTTTGGGGTTTTTGATGCTTATGTTCATCGCGACCTCGACTACTTGGTTGCTTAGGTCATGTGTTCTGAACGTCATAACTTCTTTATACGATCTCGGATTTTAACGATCTTTATTTCCATGCGTTCGTATTTTAGTCAACTACAACTTTCATTTAGATTACTCCAATTAAAAAGTAATATATTTTCATTTACGATTTTTATATTCATACGTTTTTTATGAATTCATGTATAGATATAAAGATCGTTAAAATCTGATATCGTTTACAACGTTCAAAACACAAGACCTACGTAACCAAGCAGTCGAGATCGCGATCGACATAAGCATCAACAGTCCCAAACACCTCATCAATGATTGTCCTACGTAAAATATCGTGAGAAAACCCTAAAGAAATCATTCATAAGTACTGAATGGGTACAAAAACAAAATTGACTTATTTTGAAACAAAAAATATTAAGGACTAAATGTGTACAAAAATATTAAGGACTAAATGTGTAGAAAATGAGAAATATATTACCCTATTAAGTCATTTTTACAGGCTAACCTGTAGTAACCGGTCATAAAGACTGAATGTATACAATTTAACAAGTTGAAGGGGTAAATGTGGACGAAAAAAAACTCAGTGACCAAATATGTACAAATCGAAAAATATATTAACCTTTTAAGTCATTATTCCAAATTTCTATTCCATTAAGTTTAGTCGAGGTGACATTTGGGTTTATTTATATATTACTAAGAATGAATTATATGAATAAAAATTAAAAAATATATATTGAAAACGAAAATGATTGAACAGCTTGAACTTCTTCTCGCATTTAAATATTTACAATATTTTAAACTGGATTATCAAGAATATATATTAGTTTTATTAAATGTAAATTCCAATAAATATTGTGTTTGAATTAATATAATCTTAAATACATTAAATTTTATGTCCGAAATATTTGGTCATTATTTGGTTTAAGATAGAGATTTTAGATTATATTTTTTATGTTATTGTCTCCTTTTTATTTTACCTCATATTTCTTTTACATCTCACGAAAAACCACTCACCCATCCATACCACCCTACCACACATACCCATGCACCAACCCTACCTCCTCCACTCAGAGCTATACACCTTATCATACCCCACACCCAACACATATCCACCCTACACCCACACATTCATGCCCACATCGACACCAACAATAAAAAGACCAAATGATCAAGAGCCAAAAAAAACACATTTTTTTCGTTTTTTATCTTTTAGGATATATTTATTATCGAAAAAACGAATATACCAAAGTTATATATATACTAATGGAGCGCAGTCAAAAAACACTTTTCATTTTCAGCTTTTAGATCTCCTTGTAACACTTACGTTTCCTGCTAGGCTTAATTATCAAATTTGTAACATTGTCGGTTAACTATTGTAAATTTCCGAGAATAAATAAAAGTAAATTATTCAAATACATGTGTAGTTATATATAGTATACGTGCCTATAACGATATAATAAAATACGTGTCTAAAATAGAATAATAATTAAGACGAATAACTTTGATGAAAGTTGAAGTAGTCGCAATGAGGATTCCAGCGATATAAGGAACGCTCAAATCCGACTTATAACGAAGAAGTTATGCTTTCGCGTTGAATTCGATACGGCTTAGGATGTCGTAAATAGTGATACGGAGATAGGTGTTTTAGTAGCCTAAGTAATTTAAACGAAAGTCATAGTATTCGTAAAAACGAATCTGTACATATAGAATACGTCTAAATCTGACTTCATTTGAGAAAGTTATGATTTTTTTAAATTCAGCGCAGCAGTGTGCAACACTGATATCAAACTTTTGATCGGTTGATCGTTAGCTAAAAACAATATAAATGAGAATTAAAGAACTCGTTAATAGGAATCCAACGATATAAAGACAGTCGAAAATGGACATCGGATGAGAGAGTTATGCATTTTATACGGTCTTTAACAGTCTGAGTCTGTGTAAATAAAATAAAATGAGGATTATCCGACGGAGTCTAAGCTAAAGTTGTACATCCCGTCGATATCTACACTTGGATATAAAGAACGTCAAAAACAGAGCTCGTATGAAGAAGTTATGTAATTCTGAAAATATAAAAATCGGTACACGCGCGGTGCGCGTCGCACATAGTATTCTAGAAGCAACCCCACCCGGATTAGGACATGTGTCAGCATATGGATGGATCCACGTCACCAGGCGCGGTGCGCTTTTCAAAAAGTGCTATAAATAGTTGCTCATATCTCACCCCTACAACCTCTATCTCGAGTTTTTCCCTGCCTTAGCCCATTTTCCCTTAAGTTTTCTGTATTTCGGTGAAACTCGTAGATCCTGATGTGTGTAAAGCCAACTAGTTTTAATCCTATTTTTCTAATGTAAATTTGACACACAATAGGCAGTGTACCTGTCAATTGGTGGTATAGTTTTTAGTAAGCAGGGTATCGAACTCAGGGAATGGTAAATTTTAAATTAACTACTAATACTATCTAAAAACAAATAATAAAAGAAGGGGTTTTCTCTAGTTTTGCAAGACTAGAAAACTTTAATATCTAACTAAAACTCAAACAAAACAAATAACAGCTAGAGAGTAAAAATCAACTAAATTCAATGGTAAAAGAGACTTCTGTTTAGGTTTGACTTATTTGATCATATAGTTGATTTTATGAAAAGTGCAATGGATTAATTCTTCTTTGGCTACCGATTAAGGTGATTAGGTTCACGTTCGCTATTACTAGTCCTTAAAAAACAAATTAATCTAAGCAGTGGCCAGTTGTCTAAATTAATGAATTTCCTAGTTTATTTATTCGGGTTAAGTAAGACTTGTAGTGGTTAACTAAATTGGTCATTCAATTAACCTCTTGCTGATGGTTCGTCACACAAGCTCACACGTTAATTTTCCTATTCTCTATTAACCCTAGTTTCACGTTCGCTATTCCTAGGCATATAACAATGTTTTCACATAAATCATATGAGATTAGCAATTAAGAGATGGTCATGCAACTTAATTACAGGTTAATTAACAGAAAATAGTCATAATTAACACATAAGGGTCTTTAACAAGCTTAACAAAACAAATCACCAAATAAGAATAATCCAAATCATAAAATCAACACATAATCACAAACTTTGTCTTTCCTAAACAGAAGAAAATAGTCTTAGCTCATGATTACAGAAAAATCAAAGTCACAAACGAAATCTACTAATAAAAACATGGTTTAGACAAGAGATTAGGTAAGAGTAAACTTGATTTTTGCCTTAATCCTCCTTAAGATTGAATGTAGACTTGAATCCTTGATTTCCTACGCTCCAATAGTCCTTCAATCGAAAAGTATCGTCCAAGGGTTTCTTAGAAAAACCGGGTATCGATCTGAAAGCCTCTTTTTATAGATTAGAAGCGACTCGTCGAGTCTCTCATTAAATCCCCGTGTACGGCAAGGCAAGGACTCTTCTGCTTCGAGAATGTTCGTGGGAACTCGTCAAGTCAAGGGTTAACTCGCCGAGTCCTTCTTGGTTTTTGGCTCTTTTCTTCTTTCTTTGATTCCCAAGCTCCTGATAGCTCCTCCTGCTTCCTTTTGCTTCCGAGCACTTCTTATGAACTGAAAATATAATTTAAACGTAATTAAGCATCTTTTGTTCCATAATTGCAATAAATTAGCCAAAAAGTATTAATATTCTATACAAAATATATGACTAATTATGCACATATCAGATCCCTTAGAGACCGACATCTAGTAGCTAGTAGGCCGGAGTTTGAGTAGTGAAAATTTCAGACTTTTGTCTAGGAAATCTCTATAAGTTAAATTACATTCAATCTTATTTTAGTGTAACTTTTATTTATATTCATAGTCATTGTTATGAATCTCTAAATAAGATTTATCAGTAATTCCATGTCATTATATTGATTGATCTACTTATGGGAGAGGTGCCTAGAATGTTCACGTTGTCTTGTTTGTTGGATTTCAGAAAGGCTAAACACC